AATGTTAAAAAATATTTAGTATTGTTTTTGTTAATTAAAAAGTTAACTAATATTTTTTGTTAAAGTATGCTGGCTTTGCATGAACGGATCTACTTAATTGAATGTAATGGTACAAATTAAAAAAAACTGAACATTTCAAAGTGCGCAGAACATTTTAAAAATTGGCATGATTTTGTCATATATTGTACAGGAAGTCTTTACAAAAGTCAAAAGTCAGTTTTTTGTATATTTCTATTGGTTAAAAATTTGTTTCGCAATGCAAAATTTATAGTAGAGTTAGGAAAAATCTAATAAAAGAATTAGTAAGTATAGGAGCAAAAACATATTTTTTAGGTTTTTAACTCTTTTATATAATTTTTATGCTTATGCTTTATTTTTGTTCCACTTTACAAGTTTTTTACTTTGAGACTTTTTTCCTAAAAATGTAAAAGCCTGATATGTGACAGCTGAATTCCAAATCATTATTTTTTATCCTTTCATCCAATAAAAATGAGTAAGTATTAACAACTGCTCCCGAGTAATTTCCTAACTGGAGCGCGTTTATCGCATACGCTGGCGCGGCAATTTAAAAATACCTACTCGGATAATTATCCTGGATGTTAAATCGCATTTATTTTTTCTTTTTCATTTCGGTGCTCTCTCGCCAGCCAAGAAGACAGTGGCGGCTACTATATCTACCATTGTTTCTTTATACACAAAATCAAAATTTGTTAGCATGAGTTTGTAGTTTATTAATTTTATTTTGTGAAATTTTAACATATTTTTTTTTATAAAACAATGGTGTTTAATTATTTTAACAAAGGAAACTATTTTACCGTTGCGAGAGTTGTACTTAAAAAGTATTGCAATTAGAATATTTAAGTTACTTGAGAATGGAGAAAATAAAAATTATCAATACATTGTATTTTTTCTCTAAATTGATTTAAAGTAAAAATACAAAAATAATTGGACTTATTAATTTGAATAAATAATATTTTTTAGTACTTCGTAATGCAAAAAGTTTAAAGTCAAAGTAAAAAATTGATTGTACTTAAAATATAAATGAAAATACAAGTAGGTACCAAGAATACATCGTCCTTCAAGTCATTGCATATTGTAAATAATTTTAATCAGAATCTAAAACTATCTTTATGCATATATTTAATATAATTGATAAACCTTTTTACAAATATTTTAATTATTGACATGTAAGTATTTAATATTTGTTATCAACCATTGTATTGTTTTAACTATTAATTTTATCATTATCATGTTAACATAACCTTATAATAATTTTACATATTTTTGTATTTTGCCTGAAGATGATCTAATATAGATCGAAACTAGTCGCAATAAAAACATAAACAAGCACAGGAAGTATCCTTATTCACCATTCTAATCAAATAAAAAAAAATTTTTTTTAATGTATTCTGTTCTTTATTATTTTTTAATTATAAAATAAAAAAATATTTAGAATCAGTAAACATTTTAAGTTAAAATAAAAAGTACTTGATATTTTCTCTGATTATAATTACAAAATAAAAAAAAATTGTAATTATCAAATTGGTAAAGTAAAAATAAAAAGTAATCAATATTTTTCTCTCATTACAATTATAAAATCAAGTAATAATTAGTAATGATAGCATAATCCATTAAAAAAAATACTCAGTACTCCCAACTCTGGTTACAGATTATTTTGTTAATGTTTAACAAATTATTTTGTTGAAAAAGTACACGTGATTTCAGGCTGTCAATCAAAACATTTCCCACTGACAATACGCATCAACAAGTTCAACTGACTTCAGCGTCTGCAACTTGTTTTTTCTTACTTTATTCTAATTCGTAACGTGTTCGTAACAACTGTTACCAGAAATATGTTATTATTGTTATTCGGATTCATTACCTATTTAACGAGTGTGCGAAGTGCGAAGTATACAAAAAAGATGGAATCACAGGTTTTCAAACTAAAATTAGGGAATACACTGCAGTGGGTTAAAGTTACGAAATACATCAGTAAGTGTTGTAGTAGTACTGCTAGTTATATTGTAACAAACTTCTTTATAATTTGATTATTAGAATGGTGTGTTATTTAATTGTGTGTATGTTATTTTTGTCTTCATTTATAATAATAATAATAACGTTTATTGTGAAAAGTTACTTTACACAAATGGTCGAGGTTTTCAATGAGATCTTACATCTCGCCAGTGAATTAATTAAGTAAAATATTTAACAAAAATATGTAAACAATCAAAACAAAACAAAAAATACATACGAAGATAAGTATCCATAAAAGAACAAAAACGAAAAAGAAAAAAAAACTAATCTATTTCCCGTTTCCGGGTTTTTATAACATTTTTAAAGGTATAAGTTGGCAGTAATAGATAATAATTATAATAATTATTATAAAACATGTTAAGTAATTTTGGGGCCATATAAGCAAAAGCGCTTTGAAATTTATTAGTGCGATGGTATACCATATATGGTATTTTAAAAATCAAATTATGAATGCTCAACCTTAAATTTATTTCTTGTAAAAGATATTCTGTACTATTATTTTTTTATGTTTTCTGTAATAAGACACCTTATAAAACTGTTGATCGTTTGTCAATTTTTAATTCATTATTCATGAATGGTGTTACGTGTTCTCTAAAAGGTATGCAATAAACATATCTCATAGATGAGTTTTGTATTTTTTGTTAAGTATATTTAAGTTCTTGCGTTAAAAATAATAGTACCTACACAGAGTTACAATACTCAATATTTGAATATATTAAACTTTTAATCAATTTTAGTTTTGTACTTGGATTTAAAAGGTGTGGGGAGGTATGTGTTAATTTTATTGTTTAGGAAATTACAACAATTCTTATCAATTTTTTTTTCATTTGAGTTCCCAATTTCCAAAAAATACTTTTGTTACTGGGTCTACAAAAAGGTTTGTAAAAATAATGTCCTTTTTGAAATTTACAAGATTATGGTTAAATTATTGACATAGAATTTTGTTAAATGTACAATATATCTGTTATACTTACAGAATACTTATTCAATTAGTTAACAGATTACAGTTGGTTGTAAACTTAACATAAAGTTATGTTGACCTGGATTAATATAAAATCTGATTAATATTTTGTTAAAATTAAAAAATATTTTTTACTGTGTAAACCCTTAAATTATTAATAATATTTATAAAACAAAAAAATGAATAATCTGAAAAATTCTACAAAAATTGGTATTTTAGAACGTTAATTTTTTTTAAATAATTCACGTCTTTCCAAAATGTGTTACTTACTAACATCATAAAATTTTATTTTAGGATTCTTAAATACGTCCAGACATTCTTAATATTGCTAAATATCGTTATTAAAAATATGTTTAAAAAATAAAATACGATTGTTTATCCAAATTGGCTAGCTGCAGATGTCTTGTTTATTTTGTTTTTATAACAACTGGTTTTACATCTTTTATATTTTAGCACGGGAAGTACACAGCATTGTCGAGTTTAATTTAATTTAATATATCTCCCCCTATCTGGCGAAGTTAATACAAAAAATGGTATATTGATAGGATTTTTTCTATGAATTAATTTTATTTTAAATCTGCATATTTGGTTTAAAGCCGCACTCTAAAAAGCCAAAATCCACGGTCCGCCACTGCTCGAAGAAGCAATTAAAGCCTCTCGGCGAATACCTGGGGCTGTCAATAATAATAATAATAATAAGAGTAAGATCCAGGGAGGCGGTGCCTTGGAATGGGGCGGAGCCTCACTCCCACGTCCTCCTAACAAAAGAATAACGTCGATTTGTGTTGATTAATATCGTCTTGATGCCAAAATATGCTGCAAACAGGTAGAAACTTGTTTTTTAGCGGAACAAACAAAAATTACGCGCAAGGCCAAATTTGCACCGGCGCTTTCGCCATTTTTGAAAATAAAATAAATTAACATAATTTTTTGTATAAAACCAGGGTTTGTAATTATTTTAACAAAGTACAGATTACAGATTATTTTGTTAATATTTAACAAATTATTTCTTTGAAAAAGTACAAGTGGTTTCAGGCAAAAATCAGAACATTTCCCACTGAGAATATGCATCAACAAGTTCAACTCAACTCCTGCAACTTATGTTTCTGCTTACTTTATTCTAATTCGTAACGTGTTCGTAACAGCTGTCCAGAGTGTTTATAATATATTACCAGAAATCTGTTATTATTGTTATTCGGATTTCTTATACCTATTTACCGAGTGTGCGAAGTATTCGAATAAATATATCATCACTGGTTTTCAAAATACAGTAAATGTTGTAGTAGTATACTGATAATTATATTGTACCATATTTCTTTATAATTTGATGATTTCAGAATGGTTTGTTATTTAAATGTGTGTATTTTATTTTTTTGTTTATTTATGTAGGTATACATACACATGTGTTAATTTTTTTGTTTAGGAAATTGATTAATAAAGCAACATTTTTTATCAAAATTATTTTCATTTAAGTTCCTAATTTCCAACAATACAATAAAAATACTGGGTCTACAAAAGGGTTTGAAAAACTAAGGTCCTTTTTGAAAATTATAAGAATTATGGTTGAATTATTGACAAGATTTTGTTATTGAAACTACAAAATGTTTGTTATAATATAAAACTACTTATTCAATTACAGTTGGTTGTAAACTTAACATAAAGTTATGTGTACCTGGATTAAAAATTAAAATCTGGTTAATATTTGGTTAAAATTAACATTTTTTTTTACTGTGTACGGTATATTTTTTTTAGTTTGATAAGGATAATAAATTTAATAAAGTACATAATTTTAAAACCTTTATAAAAATACGCTACTTGTATTTTTGGGAAAGCTTACTAAATAAAATTTAATTAATTTCTAAAAGAATTTTTCATTATTTAACAACTGCATTGTCAGAATTCCTCTGTCGAATTCTTTAATTAAAACATTGTTTAAAATCATATTATATTCCTAATTTCTCGGTACACATATTTAGAATGTTGTCGAAAAATGCCTACATTTATTTTTTAATTAAATTGTTTTGTGTTTTTTTAAACTAATAAAAATAATTCAAAGATATACAATGGTAGGTATATTAAAAAGTTGTGAGTACGTATACAAAGTCAGTCTTATAAAATATAATACAAATATAATTGTTTTAAAAACTTATGGAACTATTTACATTGTGTCGAATGTGATTTTCTAATAAATAATAAAACTCGAGTTGGCTTTCCTCATTCATATACAACAATTTCTGGAAGATTTTGTTTATATCATTATAGTTGGTGTTCTTGATGAAAGTATTAATGTAGACATGCACAAAAGTGGCCATTAGAAATTGACAATCATTTCTGTCCATCATACCACCATGTCCTGGAATAATATCTCCAAAATCCTTGACTTTCATCGATCTTTTAAAACCTGATGCACAAAAACCTCCAAAAGGCGCAATAATGCTCGCAAAAACCGATATTACTAAGGAGTGAAAGACGAAGGGGTAGGAGTGGATACCATAAAAGTCAATTGGTGAAAAAATGTAGGTGGAATTACAATTTGTATTCATACTTATACCGCTTGAAGTGTTCATATACTCTATTGGGCATGTGAAGAAGTCAAACTGGCAAAGAAATTGGGATAATAATAAACCCATTAGAACTGTACCAAAAGCACCGAAGATGTAACCCTCCATAGTTTTCTTTGGAGATAATTTGATTAAGGGGGTTTTGCCCAAGAGCTTTCCAAATATAAAAGCGAATATATCGTTGAGTACCACCAACGAAATAGGAACCACATTCCATATTAAACCCTCGAAAACTATATTCACCAGTAAACTTGCTTGTACCACGATTATAAGTATCAGGAAATGTGTCCAGAAAAATAAGCTGAACTGTTTCCTCAGCTCATTTTTTTTGACATTGGTAACGAACCAAATAAACCCAAATAAATAGGCGCAAAACGAAATAAAACTGTGATAACTCACTAAGAACCTCACGGTAGCAAAAGTATCAGCAAAAACCTTGAAGTGTATCTTCGATACCTCCCCATAGAAAAAATAATTCCCCACCAAAACAAAGTAAATATTTATCCTTCTTAATTTGGATTCTTTTGGTAATTTTTTCGCTTCGTACGCTAAATTCATAATTTCCTCGAAACATTTGAACTGCACCAAAGTGATCATGAGCATTATAGTGAGGGGTCCCCCGTATATTATGAGGCTGAATCCGGTAACCATTGTTATTCCCAATATAAACCTTTTTGTAAGGTTGCTTTCCACTTTTGGTATGAAATCTGCTCTTGTAATATGCTTCATCGCTAGCTGTGGGTTCCCTAGTAGTCCCAAGCTACAATTAATAATATTAAGAATTTTTATTGGATTTAATGGATTTAATACATAAGCATTTTAAAGCCGAGTTTAAAAGAAAATTTCATGTTTCTGTGTCAAATTTTGACAACATTACCTACATATTAAAACCACAGATAAGCTTATCTTAAAATTTAAATAATATTTTAAAACATATATGATAAATCATAATGGTATGCGTACAACGTAAACATTTAAATAAGATAACCATTAATACTCACACAGATTATTAAAAAATGCTATAACTATATTTAATTACGTATGGTTTTACTTAAACTAAGGTGTATACTAAATTTAAAATCTATTTCTTATCTTCGATTATTACCTTTATCAGCTGTTTACTTTAAAATTTAAATTAAATTGGTTTACGTGTTATTAACATAGTTTAGGTGGATACTAAAATAAAGGTCATGATAAACAAATATTCACACATAAAATAACGAAGTTGCATAAATCTTAAATTTTTCTGAAAATTAGGTAAATCCACAATCCACACAACAAGGTCTGTTCGATCTCGTACTAAAAATACTATAAATCACTGCAACACTGCACATCATACGATGGCGGCCATTTTTGTTGTTTACAATTCTTGTGCTTTGGGTTTGTACAGATTAATAATCGTTTTAAACGTTGTGTGTCTTACAGAGAGACTTGCAAGCCTTAAAAGAGACCTCAAAGTGGTAAGAACAATCATTTTACTCCTCTTTTGTAAAAAATAAACGTTATTCTATCAGGGCTGTCAAATGTCAATTTTAAGGTTAATTTAAGGTTATTTTATAACCCACAAGGGTAATATATAATTTTGTAATCATTATGTTAATTTCAAAGGTTACAGATTATTTTGTTAATTTTTAACAAATTATTTCGTTGAAAAAGTACACGTAATTTCAGGCAGTCAATCAAAACATTTCCCACTGACAATACGCATCAACAAGTTCAACCGACTTCAGCATCTGCAACTTATGTTTCTGCTTACTCTATTCTAATTCGTAACAACTGTCCAGAGTGTTTATAATATATTGCCAGAAATCTGTTATTATTGTTATTCGGATTCCTTATACCCATTTAACGAGTGTGCGAAGTATCCGAAAAAAGATGCCATTACTGGTTTTCAAAATAAAAGGATACAGTGAAGTGGGTTAAAGTTACGAAATACATCAGGAAGAGTTGTAGTAGTACTGATAATTATATTGTACCAATTTTTTTTATAACTTGATGATTTTAAAATGGTGTGTTATTTAATTGTGTGTATGTTATTTTTGTGTTAATTTATGTAGGTATGTGCTAATTTTTTTGTTTAGGAAACTGTTTGGGTTTTTGATTAATAAAGCAACATTTCTTAACAAAATTATTTTCATTTAAGTTTCCAATTTAAAAAAAATGCTTTTGTTACTGGGTTTGTAAAAATAAGGTCCTTTTTGACAATTACAAGAAATATTGTTGAAATATTGACAGGATTTTGTTATTAAATCTAAAAATTTTTGTTATAATTACAAACTACTTATTCAATTAATTAACAGATGATTGTAAACTTAACATAAAGTTATGTCAACCTCGATCTGGTTAATATTTGGTTAAAATTAAAAAATATTGTTTTACTGTGTTCTATCTCGTTTCGCGCATACTAAAAATCACAAAGTTAGACAACCCACTGCACAGACTATAACGGCGTCCATTAAAACAGGCATTGAAGTATTAAGAGCAACCATTTTACTCATCTTTTTTTTAAAAATAAACCTTAATAATTATTGTATCAGGGCTGTCATCAAACGGTCAAATGTCAATTTAAGGGTTAATTTGTGAGTATGGTAAAGTTGTGGTTTATGTCAAATTAACCTTAAAATATGTATAAACAGCAAAAAACCAAAGCAAAAGAATTGTAAACAAAATAAAATCATTACTAGATAATACAATATTGTTCACATTAAGTATTATTTCACAGAAAGGGCACTTTATTGTAAACGATTGTATGACATTTGGCAACTGTTAAAAAGCTAACTTCAGCCCGTGACTAAAGCGTCATAAAGCCATAGCTTTTCAATGTGTATTTAAAAGATCACTTAGTGTCATGAAAACATTGGCGTTTTAAATGTATAGTATAAAAATTCTTGGTTAAGTTTGGTATTACCGAAATGACCAGTCTACGGTCTACGGACACCAAAAGATTAAAATATTGTATGGAAAATTGCTTTTATTAAACTTATAAACTGATTGTAAATATTACAACCGTCGTCAACCTCAAAATCCACAGTTACCGAAATGACGATATTAAGCCTACAATGAAATTTTGGTTTATTCATTAGAAATGCATGATTTTATGCAACCCACCAATCAATTTCGTGTATCGCGAGTGGAATAAAACCGCTCGTTCCAAATCTAAATTTAGTCGATCTCATGCAATGAGTTAAATAAAACACTTTTAATTGATGTTTAAAAGGTTCTGTAAGTTTCAAACCTCCTTGCCAACGATTAAAAAACGATATTCCCACGCAATTACCGAAGTGAAATTGCAAGAAACAACATTTATTAACAGGTCCCCGTATCTCAGCCGGTGATCTGTTAATGGAATTATTGAAATTGAGACACTGGGCGGAGAGGTGTCAAAAGAACACTATTGTTGTGTTTTAGTGTCCATATAACCGTTCGTGGGAATGTGTATGAAGTCTTTTGTGATTCGGACGCTTTAAAGTTTTTAATAGATATAATTATCAATTGCTTACGGGTTTAAGTTTTTTCCGACTGAAAGCTTTTAGTGTAATGATCAAAATATTGATTTATGGATGCTGCAAGGGTGGTAGGAACTTTTTTAATTGGTAGAACATTTTTAAAATGAATCATCATAGAGTTTCCTTTAACATAAAGCCACGATGAATACTAAAGAAGCAGTTATACGATGGTTACTCGATTTAGCCACAATATTGGCACTTTTTTTTTTAAAGATTACATGACATTTGATAACTGTCATCTAACTTCAGCCCCTGACTACAACGCCTTAAAGCCACAACTTATCAATGTGCATTTAAAAGATCACTTAGTCTTATGGAAACATGTACGATAGTGGACGTTTTAAAGGTGGAAGTAGAAAAAAATAATCATGAATTATTTTTTGACATCATTCATAACTTTGGTTTTAATAGAGAAACTATTCAATTAATACGCAAGTCAAAGACAAAAGGTAAAAATTGGAGCAACTGAATCTAAACCTACCAATGTAAAGAGTGGAGTACCGAAAGGTTCAATTTCAGGTGCCCTGTTTCATACATTCTTGTTAGTTGTATTAAAAGTTGTAATCTACATCTCTACGAGGACGATACATATATGTATACCTATACTATAGGTCCTATAGGTATATTTTTCATTTAAGGCAAACAAAATTAATATCCAAATAGGTTGCAGTTTATTCGACCAGAAAAAGTATTCTTTTATTAAACATTTTTTAACATTTAACTTAAAAATTCACCAATTGAAATGGATCAGGATATAAGGTTTGGAGGAAAAATTAGTAACAACATAAGAAAAGCGTTTGTGAACCCTAAGTTGATCTACCCGCATAGGCATCTTATTAACTCCAATGTTAAGAAGCAGTTATGTAATTCGTTGGTGGTATCCCACTTTAATTTTGGCGATATCACTCGTGTATCACAAAATTTCATTTAAACGGTTGCCAGAGAATGCAAAATTCATGTGTTTGGTATATACCTCTCAAAGCCTTAAATATATTAATTGGTTAAAGATGGTTAAACTACACAGTAAAAACATATTTGTTAATTTTAACCAAATATTAACCAGATTTTATGTTAATCCAGGTCAACATAACTTCATATTAAGTTTACAACCACCTGTTATCTGTTAAATAATTGAATAAGTAGTTTGTAATTATATCAAACATTTTGTAGATTTAATAACAAAATCCTATATCAATGATTTAACCATAATTCTTGGACCTTATTTTACAAACCTTTTGTAGACCCAGTGACTTAGAATTTGTTAGAAATTGGGAACTTGAAATGAAAAGAAATGTTTCTTTATTAATCATTTTTCTAAACAAAAAAAATTAACACATACATACCTACATAAATGAACACAAAAATAACATACACACAATTAAATAACACCATTCTGAAATTATCAAATTATAAAAAAATTTGGTACAATATAATTATCAGTACTAATTTCAGTTTGAAAACCAGTGATGGAATCTTTTTTCGGATACTTCGCACTAAGGAATCCGAATAACAATAATAACAGATTTATGGTAATTTATTATAAACAAGTTACGAACTAGAATAAAGTAAGCAGTGATGTGTATTGTCAGTGGGAAATGTTTTGATTGACTGAATGAAATCCCGTGCTCTCTAAAAATGAATTAGTCAAAAATGACTAATTTAATAGTTATTAGTGTCTGCTTTTTCACTTCTACCATGGTTGAGCATGGAAAACCATGGTATCCCAAAATTTAACATCCAATTCTTATGTAAAATTGTCCCCTGAATTTGAAAATACCGTCAAAAATTATGAAAGTCGAGCAGTTTTTGAGATAAAATCAATTCCATATTAAATGGAAAATTGACTATATCTCAAAAACTGTTCTTTCCTTTGTTAAAATAATTACAAACCCTGGTTTTCCACAAAAAATTATGTTTAAATTTTACAAAATAAAAATAACAAACTACAAATTCATATTAAGAAATCTAATTTTTATAACAGTGTATGCACTTATACCTTATAGAATTGGCATATGATTTTTTGTCAACATTCACAACACAGTTTAGCAATAATAAACGATAAAATCCCGTGTAGTCTTACCAACTTTAATAATTTTTTACTCGGAAACCAGACTGTCAATCTTTCTAAAACATTTTCTCATATCTACTAATATAGTGCAAACTCATAGGCATTATTATCCCAATTTCATTGCCAGTTTGACTTTTTCGCATGTCGATAAAAGTATATCAACACTCCAAACAAGATATAAATAAAAATTGCTCAGGAAACTGTTTCTGGTAATTTTCGACTAGGCCAAGAATTATTATAATCACCATTAAAAATCTTATTATGTATTTTGTTCCGTAATTGAGGAAAATCGTATTTAGCTAATAATGTTTATTATAATTATTATTAATACTTCTATAAAGAACCCTAATTATAATCATATTAACATAATCAAAACACTTAATCGACAATTCAAACTAAGCATCATTATTAATTAATAAATTAATTATTTGTTAGTATTTCCTAATTATGACTTTAGGATTTGGCCTTGCCAAGCTGTTAGTTAAGAGAATACGCC